AGGGATATATAAGAAATCCTTACTGATTAAATTCCTATAAAATTTGTTCCTGTCGCTGACAGTAATGAGGATGCTGGTGGTTCAGAAATCAGATTAACAAACCTTAAGTCCTCCAGCCAACAGGAAGACATTGTCGTAGCCCCGCTGTGTCAAGATGGTTGCCACTCGCGGGGCGATGCTTTCGTTTTCGTCGTAGAGAATAATTATGTGATTTGGTCTGTTTCGAAATGCAAGCATCTCTCGTGTCTCAAAATTCATGCACCTGGAGAGCATGGTAGCCGGATAATTAAGGGCTGAAATAATGAGAAAACAAAGTACTGGTAGTTGTATACTAGTATATAGGTTTTAAAAGATAATATAACCACTAAACCTGGTTTAAAAATGGGTTGCACCAGCTTTCGACTCTATAATAAATTTCAAAACCGTCTTGAATTTAAGTCACCAAATGAGTGGAGAAGCAACCGGCACCAAGGTAAGATTAAAAAGAAGTTCGAAAATTAAGCAGGGGTACTGGCTGTACACTATTTGGAGAAAGGGTTAGAACAGTTTGAGTCGAAGGAGGCCATAAAATAGGGGCAGAAATGAGTAATAAAAAGATGGACATAAAATATACCTGGAAAGTGTTTCAATCAATCTACATAAGTTTCAGATCTTGCCAATAGGATTCCCTGCAAACCGGCTGACAAAATAGACAAGCAAACTTTACTTAATTGACCCAATTGTGCAAAATTCGTGGTCTCGGTGGGATTCGAACCCATACAGTAGGGAAGGCATTTGTATGGCCAAAGCTGCGGAGGCACGTCAAAGCTTTGAATTTAATTACTTTTGGGTCGATATACCCGCCCAACCTACTGCACATGTGAAATCCACCATTACGCATACAGTAAGCGGACTACCCGGGCAGGATTTCCTAAGCAATAATTTAGAATCCACCAGAATGACTATATTCAGAATGATTAATACAAATCCTTCCGCACTGGGTGCGTTCGAATCCCGCCGAGGCCACGAATTCATCACAATTAGGTCAATTGAATTTATTTAATACGGAAAATCTTAAAAAGTAAAAAAGAAGAAGCGAGTGTGATCTCTAGAACTATCAGAACACGTTTCAGAGCATTCAGAACCCCTTGGTAGTACATCATGAGAGCACACGGAACAATTCTCGGATAGTTGTCAAGCTCGTAGTTTGCTAAAAACGATTTTACGGTATTTTGCATTGAAAACCAAACAGCACACGAATATGAAAGTTGTTTGAATGAAAATGGCAGGCTTGGGTCCTAATTGGTGAAGCAATCTTACATAGTCTCTTAGATACCATGGGAAAATTAAGGATGGAATTACATTGGGTAAGCAATGGCAATAGACGACTAATGGATAAGCAAGATAAAATTTCTTTCGGGGAAAGGCGACTCCCTGTTTTGACTCCTTAAGTCTGTTTAAAAACGAAATAGACCGGATGGCGTGAGACTTTGATATAACTATTCTA